TCCCACGGGAGATCATGTCCAAGCACGTTTGGGCTTTGACAACTGAATCGTTTTTGGATGCAGCTGAAGCGCATTGAGGAACAAACGCATACGATCACGACGGGAAGCGGGGAGGAGAGCGAAGCATTTGCTAAGCAGGAGAGCGGGTTGAAGCATTTGCTAAGCAAGAGGGCGGGTTGAACGGGCCACGCGCAAACGATCGATGCAAGCCAGGTGGACCGACGAGCTGCTGCCGAGCTGCTCCTGAACATCGCGACGGGCATCGCCACGTTGACTTTTGGGTGGCCATGGGGGGACAGGGCGGGGAGGAGGCGGAAGAGGGCGGGGAAGGAATGCATGGCGCTCTCGTGATCGCGCTGGTGGCGGGCGCAGCGGACGGCGTCGTCGTCCTATGAATTGTATGGTTTGAATTTCGCGCCAGCGTTTCATCGGCACGGGCGCGGCTGGAAAATTAGAATTAGGAAGTTGGCGGCGCGACGAGGGATGCAAGGGGGAGGGAAGGAGGCTTCTTATAAAGCATGGTGTTTCTTAGATGCCCTCGGAAGTTTTTAAGAAGCTCTCGGAATGCTTCTAAGCAGCACCCTGTCTTATAAGATGACCCTCCCTCACCCCCCTGCACCCCTCGGCGCGCCGCCGAGAAAGGCGCGCAACATGGGCGGTAGCATGAACAGAAGCATTGGCAAGGTATCGTCAGAACAGTGGCATTTGCAGTATCATGTGCAGTAGCGCGTGCAGTGTGGGCAGTTGCATGGACAGGAGCATGGGCAGTAGCATGGATATAGCATGGGCGCTGGCGTGGGCAGTGGAATTAGCTGTAGAAGTAGCAATGGCACGGGCAGCAGCATGGGCAGTAACGTGGGCAGTATCGCGGGCAGTATCATGCGCAGTATCATGGGCATTAGCATGGTCGGTGGCAGCAGCAGTAGCAGAAGCATGGGCAATAGCACGAAAGCAGGAGCATGGCCAGTGGCAGTAGCAGTAGCAGTAGCAGCAGTAGCAGTAGTAGTAGCAGTAGCAGTAGCAGGAGCATGGTCAGTAGCAGGAGCATGGCCAGTGGCAGCAACAGCGGCAGCAGTCAGGAGCAGGCCCAGGAGGGAGGGAGGGGCCTAGGGAGAGAGAGAGAAGAGAGGGAGGGAGAGTGAGACAGAGAGAGGGAGAGAGAGAAAACAAACAAAAAACAATGGAGGAAAAACAGTCAGGAGAGCAATGGGGCGATGCAGTGAGTATCCGCCGCGCGCCTCCTAACCAGCGGGAAGCAGCGCCCCCCCGTTCCGGCGCCGCCCGCGCTGGGTCGCCCCCCCCCCCCCGCGGGAGCGATGACGGAGCCCAGCTTGGTAGGGTGGAAGATGCGCTCGGTCAAGTACTACCAGGAGAGCGAGAATCCCCGCGCGTGGCTGGTCATCACCGAGTGGGAGGCGAGCAGGGGGTGAGGAAATGAGGTGGCGGAGGGGGCGGAGGAGGCGGGGGGGGCGGAGGAGGAGGAGGAGGAGGAGGAGGAGGAGGAGGAGGAGGAGGAGGAGGAGGGGGAGGAGGAAGGAGGAGGAGGAGGAGGAGGAGGAGGAGGAGGAGGAGGAGGAGGAGAGGAAGGAGGAGGAGGAGTGTGCCCGCGCGTAGACATTGGTGCGCATCACAAGGTGACTTAGCATTCAGGACCAGGGATGAGAGGGCGCATGGCATTGCAATGGGAGCAGTATCATGGGCAGTATCATGGGCACTGGCATGGCTAGTAGCATGAGCAGCAACATGGTCGGTGGCAGCAGCAGTAGCAGGAGCATGGGCAATATCATGAACAGTAGCAGTAGCAGTGGCAGTTGAGAAAGAAGTCGGGGGAGGGAGGGAGGGGCCTACGGAGAGAAGCGGGGGCGGACAGCTGGCCAGGGGAGGAGCCCGCGCCTGAAGCAGACGGAGAACCAGGCGAGCCTGCGCCCGAAGCAGCCGCAGCAGCAGCAGCAGCACCAGCAGGAGAGCCAGCTGCGCCCGCAGACAACAGCAGCAACAGTCCTGCGCCCGCAGGCAGCAGCACCAAGCAGCCGCAGCAGCAGCAGACGCAGCAGCAGCACCAGCACCAGCAGCCAGACAGGAGTGCGCCCCCGCGGGGCGCGCAGGGGCACCCAGCAGCAGCAGCAGCAGCAGCTGCTGCAGCAGCTCCGCCCGCAGAGGCGCCAGGAAGCAGCGCGCAGGACGGGAACGGCAAGTGGAGTGGAAAGCGGCGATAAAGGGAAGTGGTGAGCAACGGCGAGGGAATGGCAGGGGAGCTGTAAGCATAGTGCCACGCCAGAGCGGGGGTTGCTTAATGATGAAGGATTGGTCGTGGGGCGGCGAGCAACGGCAAGGGAACGGTCAGGGAATTCATGGGCAGCAGTCGGCAACGGCAGGGCAAATCTAGCGGGGTGGCGAGGGCCGCGACGGAGAGCCGCCGAAGCCCGACATGGAGAAACCCGTCGCGGAGTCCGACACGGAGCCCGAGAAGAGCTCGCCGAGCGGGGGGGGCGTGCAGGGGGACGCATACCAGCAGGAGGACGCCCGAGGGAGGGGCATTGCGAAAAGTGGGATCGACAGGCACCAGAAGATGGTTTGTTCCAATTGGGGCGTGGCCGAGACGAGGATGCTGTAAAACAAGTTTTCGTTTGGGCCCCATGGCCAAGTGCCGAAACGTTGGCTCGAAATGTGTAAAAACTTATGTCGAACCCACGTTTTGCTCGGGGGTGGGATGCCGCATGCTGCACGCACAAGCTTACGACAGATGAGGGGGTGAGCGACGCGGGCAGGGCAAAAGATCCAGCATGGCAAAAAAGAAGAATAAGAATAATAAGAAGAATAAGAAGAAGAAGAAGAAGAAGAAGAAAAAGAAGAAGAAGAAAAAGGAGAAACAAAAAAAACGGCAGTGGCAGGATCTGTCCGCCACGGAGGCGCTGCGCCAGGCGGAGGCGCTGAAGAGCGCCATGCGGGCATATGACAAGGGGGCCACGCGGTACCCGAGCAGCCTGGACGGGCGCGTTGGCGCCGTGGAAAAGCAGCCAGAGCATGCGGGCGCCAGCAGCACGGGCGCGGTGGGGCCGCGGGCAGTGCATTGCGAACTTGAGAAGGTACGCGGAGGTTGGCATGTGAAGGGGACCAGGGGACGTTGAGTGGGGGGAGGGAATTTGAGGCACGCGAAGGTTGGCATGTGACGAATGGAAGCATGCGAAGGGAAGGAGGGGAAGGCACGCGAAGGTTGGCATGTGCAGGGGGGGAATTTGAGGCATGAGCGATGGCGCGGGCCTGCGCGGGAGGGCAGGCCGAGATCCCGCCGCCGCCGCCGCCGCCAATGCAGCTCCCGAAGGCCAGCGGTTTTTTGGTTGAGAGGGAAGCGAGACAACGCTCATGAGGGGCATGGTACAGGAAGCGAGGACAGGTTGGCGCCAGGGCAAGATCGGAAGTTGTGCTGGGCAGAGTGAAGCAGTGGTGCGAAGGGTAATACGAAGAGGGTCACATTCCAGGCTGGCTTCCCCGTGGTCCAGGCCGTGCCGCTGCTGGTTCCGCAGGCGCCGCAGGATCGCGCTTTGACGGGGAGGGGGGGGGAGGGGGGAGGGGAGGGCCGTCGCCGTCGCCGCGGCCGTCGTCGACGGCCGTTTTCCACCCCAACACGCTCCCAACGAACGCCCCGCATGCTTTGCGCGTGTTGGTTTTTGCCAGACTTTATGGGGAAACACGAAGTGTGCGCTGGGAGCGTGTCGGGCCAGAAAACGGCGTCCGAAACAACGTCGTCGTCGTCGTCGTCGTCGTCGTCGTCGTCGTCCGTCGTCCGTCGGCCCTGTCGTCGTCGTCGTCGTCGTCGTCGTCGTCGTCGTCTGACGGATGAGAAGGAATAGGAGGAAGATGGGGGAGGGGAAACGGCCGCTCAAGGCGTGGGCGCCGCCGCCGCCGTGGAGGGCGCAGCGGACGCAGCCCGTCCCGCCGCGGCAGGGGGGGGGAGTTGCGCATGCGGCAGCATGTGAAGGTCAGAGTTGCGCAGCGGCAGCAGGCGAAGGTGTGAAGGCGAGAGCTGGGCAGGGGAGAGTGAGCAGTGGCAGGGGGAGAGTTGCGCACGTCGAACGGATGGGCGAAGGATGGCGCAGCGAAGGTGAGCGGCGGAATGAAGTGAGCAAGAGAAGCGCAATGGGCAGGGCAGGTATCCGCCGCCCGCGAACCTGCAGCGGCAAGGTAGGCCGTACTGAGCGGGCCTGGGGCGCGACATGCGCGGGAGTTGAGAAGGGGGCGCGGGCGAGGGCAGGGAAAATTGGGCAGAGCACGTCGAGTGAAAGTGCAGCAACGAGAAAGGCGAGAGCGTCACGAGGCAGAGAAGTTGGCAGGTGTGGTGGAGAGGAGGTTATCAGCGTATTGAGCGGGAGTGTCCAGCAAGAGGTTGGTCAAGGCATTCGTCGAACCGCGCCCAGTGCACGTTTACCCTTAACTTAGTGAACTTAAGTTCGCCCTGAACTAAAAACACATGTTTTTTATCTTAGTTTTGCCCTTAACCTAAGCCCTTAACTTAATAACTTAAACATAACTTTAGTTTTCTGAGGGTGGCCGATCCTTGGGGGGCCGTTTTCGGTGGGTTCCGGGTTCCCGGGTCCCCAGTCGATCTCCTCAGCGAAAACCATCCACTGATTGGGGTTTTTGTCTGGGCTCCCGAGCGCGCGTTGCGTTGTCCTCCAGTCTCGATCCTGCGCGCGTCATCCCGGCGCCAACCCGCCCCCTCCTTCCCGGGCAACAGCGAACCGCAACGCAGTTTCAAGCGAATGTGACGCGCGGCGTTCTTTCTTCGGCCACTCGTTGTTCACGTGAGTTTGTTTTTGTATGTCTTGTTTCCGGAGCTGCTTTGCTAGGATGCCCGCGTGCTCGCCCACCCCGACGTCCGAAGGCTGCAGGCGCCCGTCGGCCAGGAAGCGAGCGCGGCGCTGCTCGGGGTTCTGGAAGTGCTCCGCGATGAACGAGAGCGCGAACAGGACCGTGCGAGGGCCGTTCAACGGCCAGTCCTCTCAGGAACTCTCCTGCATGGCCTCCACGGACGCCCTGAAGTCGCGGTGCCTGGTCCCGAAGGGCGTGCGCGCGATCGCAAGCACTCTGGCGTCGCTGTCGCCAGTCGGCCCTGGGCGATCTCCAGCGTCGCCTAGCTTGGCCAGCCTCGCCATCACGTCGCTGAGCTTCACCTTCAGCGACCCGTTCTCGGAGAGGACTTCCTTCACGAGCCCCTCGAGCTCCAGACTGTCCAGCTTGCTGAGCTGTTCCTTCAGCCACATGTCGTTGTCGGCCTTGGAGCGTAGGGCCCGCTGGGCGCGGCTGACGAGCGCCTCGGCCTTCTCCAGGACGCCCGTGCCGTCGGCACCGCCGATGTCCGCAGTCGCGGGAGCGGCCGAGCCGAGGGCTCGACGGAGCTGAGCCGCTTTCGTGGACGCGTAACCCGGAGAAGCAATTAAGGACCCCCCCGGCGTTATCATTAGCACCGCGCCGCAATTAAATAATTATTTGGGGGGGTTTTCGCCGAGCGATATTATTAGCACCGCGCAAATGGAAGGAAAATCAATAATTCCAACGCCCCGCCTCGGGTGGCATCCCAAATAGAATTGTAAGGAGAATAAGAATACGAATACGAATAAGGTGGTGCCAGGATAACGCTTCCGGGTGCCGGGTGCGTTATCCTTTCACCGGAGAGGGGGGGGGGTCCTTAATCGCTTACTCGGGTTAGTCGTCGAGGGCGCCGAGCGGGTGCCATTCCACGGCGACGGTAACACCACCGACGCGCGCGATCCCAGCCGTCCCGCACTGCACCTCGGGGTCAGCCGTCTCGGCGCCCAGCGCGAAGCCACAGCTCGGGTCGGCGACCAGCCAGGCTCCTGCGCGCGCCATTGGCGGCAGCGGCGGCGCGCCCGAACCCGCAGGATCCCCGCCCCGCTCCGAAGTGCGCGGCGTGTCAACGCCGCCGACTTCCTCCGAGCCGGGGGGGGCCGTCCGCCAGCGCAGCCACGGGCGGGTCCTGCTTGCCGCGCAGCCTCCGTGGCAGTGCCACCCTGGCGGTCGCGGTCAGCGCCTCGGCTCCGGCAGCGAGCTCGACTGGAGTCTCCATCCCGCTGCGGTAGGCGTCGGCTCGCGCGATGAGCCGCTGCACCAGCGAGGGCGCGATGTCGTCCGTCCTCGTCCTGCCGTCGTAAAAGGGGTACGCGTCCGCCTCGCGGATCCCGCGCGGCAGCGCGCGCGACGGCGGCAGCACCGACACGCGGCGGATGACCTCCGCGTCCGAGTAGATCTCGTCGTGCACCTCGAAGTCGGGCGTGGCGGCCACCCAGTGCCCTGCTGAGCGGCCCACCGGCTGGCACAGCAGCCGCTCGTGGTGGCAGTCGTCGCTATGGTAGAGCACCAGCAGCCTAGTGCCCAGCGCCGGTCGAGCCAGCATGGCGACGGCGCTCCTGCGCGGCGCGGCGCTCGGCGGTCAGCGGCTCCGCTGTCTCGCCTCCGTCCGCTGCCACCGCGAGCAGGCCCTCAGCGGAGGTCGCGCGGCGGGCGGCGGCGAGCCTCAGGGCCCAGCGCGCCACGCGGTCCGCCAGCAGCCCCACCAGGATGCCAGCGGCGAAGGCCGACGCCGTCGGCACCCAGGAGCGCGCGGCCGCCGCAGGGCAGTCCACGGGCTCCACGGGCACCCCCGCGGCGCAGGTCAGCGAGCCGCAGGCCACGTCGGGGCAGTGGAGCGAAGGGCACGGAGGGCAAGATTGCAGAGCAGAGCTAAGGTGGAGTGAGAGATGGGACACCTCGCGGAGGACGCCTCCGATCTGGACCAGATCCATCGAGAGACTTGCGCATTGAAGGCGTCGGACACGGATCAAACTCAACCGTCTGAAACGATGGCGGAGAACCTCTCGCTCACTCAGGATGCACGTGATCAGAACTTCTAGGCAAACCTAAGTGATCTGGAAAATCTGGTGGATCCGGCTGATCCGCTTGATCTGGTTGATCCGGCTGATCCGGTTGATCCCGCTGATCTGGTTGAGTGGTTCACTGATGCGGTGATCCGGCGATCCAACTGTTTCGCAACAAAACAAACGAGTCGAGTCTGGATGCATTAGGACGTCCAGGCCCTCCCCCACCCTGACGGAAGATTCGGCGGCGAGGGGGGGGAGGTTAGTGAGAAGGGGAAGGCCTTTGCAGAAGGCGGCGGGAGTTCTCAGAGGTCCGAGCGCCTTCTGAGAAGCTCTCTGCGTCTTCGGGAAGGGCTTAGAAGACTTCTCGGAAGGCCGCGGGGACTTCCGAGCCTTCTGCGAAGAAGGCCCACCGCCTCTCGCTTCTTCCCCCCTGGGCTCGCCGCTGAACGATCGTCACCGGTACACACGGAAGGGGGAGAAAAGGGGGCTTGACCCGCGTGTTCAACAAGGACCGACCTTCCTGGCATTCCCATAGGCTTACCACGGAAGTCCCTGAGAACCCCAACATGTTTTTAAATAAGAACAGTGTTCTTAGACAATAAGCCCGACGTGTTAAAACAAGACAGTCGAAGCCAGAAATGTTCCAGGGGAATGTTGCGCAGACCACAAAAAAGGTTCCTAGAACATTCTTCGGCGGGCCCATAGGCAGGCCAGGACGCTTCGCCACTGCTCGGGGGTAGCGATCGTTACGCGCCAGAGGATAACAGGAAACAATCGCCCGCCGCGCGCCGCCCGTCCTTCGTCGCCCGCTGGCGCCAAGGGTTATGTTGTTCCCATCGCACTTAAGGACTACATCCCAGAAATGATTTCGAACACCCGAAACCAAAAGTCGAAACAATGTCAAACAACAGTGTCGGAGGAGTGTCTCCCAGGGCCCGACACGCGAAAGCCCTCGAGTGTTAGTACTTTTTCTGGTGCCTGAAAATCTTCCTGGTGCTCAAGGCTAAAAGTAGGCTGGAACACCCTAAGCCAAGGGCCCGGCCCCTCCGCGGGCGCCGCGGTGCTAGGGGTGGTGGGCCTCATGCGAACCCTACCCCAACCCCCCACGATCTCTGAGGGGGAGGGTGGGGTTCACTTCGTTCGGGAGCTTCCGAGCGAAGTGAACCCCACAAGCTCAAGGCTAAGGTAGGTTGGAACACCACAAGCCAAGGGCCTGGCCCCTCTCGGGAACGGCCAACGGCGGCATGTGTGCGGCCCAGCGGGATGGCCTGGGACGTAATGAAATAAGAAGAGGCGCCATGAAATCTGCGGAGATCTCATGGCCCCCGCTATGATATCCACCCCCCCCCTAGTCATCACCCCCCTCTTTTCCGCCCCCGACCCTCCGCGGGCGCCGCGGCCGGCGCGGTGCCAGGGGCGCCGGGGCCTCCGAGTCCGTGTCGAGCGCCGGCTGAAGGGAGAGCTTGCTGCTCGGCGAGCTCCCGCCCCTCGGTCGGCCTGCGGGTGGGGCTCCTGCTCAGCAGCACCGTCCACCCTCCACCCCTCCTCCTCCTCCGCCTCCTCCTCCTCCGCCTCCTCCTCCTCCGCCTCCTCCTCCGCCTCCTCCTCCTCCTCACCCGCCTCCTCCTCCTCCTCCTCCGCCTCCTATCTCTGGGACGCTCAAAGACGTACTAGTACTATGTGTTCTCCTTGGAGGCGCGCGTCCGATCCAAACATATAGTGTACCCATCTTGTAGTATATCGCTTCCCGAGCGGTGTGGCCAGAAAGCGCCCGCCACGACGCATACACTATAAGATTTCTCGGTGCGCGCAGCGCCCCCCGGGGGGGCGACGCACATATAGTATAGTAGGTTTGGGTGACGTCGAATCAACCACCACCATGCTGTTGCTGACGAGGCGACCAGGCAAACACCCACAAACAACGAGAGGTAACCGAGTGGATCCGCTTCACCATCACCACCACCACCGCCATCTTACCTATCAGCATCACCATGAACCATCAGCCATCAACACCACCACTGACATCATCGTCATCACCATGGCTTTTTCATCGGCCTGCTCTTCTTCCCCCTTGTCCTCCCTCCGCCTTCCTTCTTTCCATTCCTCCTCGGTCTCTCCACTGCTCCTGTTCCTACTCATTCCCGTATTCATATTTCATCCCGGCTGTCCTACCCCTCCTTTTTCTCCGCCTCCTCTTGCCTATCTCGTCCTCCTTCCATGCCTCCTCCGTCCGATCCTCGTCCAATCTACCTGCGCCTCCTCTCTCGCTTCATCCGTCCCACGCTCCCCCTCGTTACAGTCACTTCTCCCTTCTACCTCCCTCCATCCTTCCCCGCCCTGCTCCATCGTCAATATAAGATCGCATCACCCCTGTTATGTCATGTAACTACTGGCTCATGCGAGGACCTCATCGAAGAGAGCAGTTCTGGAAGCAAGCCGCCCAGAGCATCGCAACCTGATCAAACGAACGCAAACCACAGCCATACTTCGAGAAAGACCCCTCTCCGACTCCAGCTCTCCAGGGGCGTCTTGGAGCGGCTCCGTGTGATCGGTCTTTCTGTATAATGTGGTCAAACGGCGCCCTCACCTCCAGTATCGGTATCTTGCCCCCGCACATTTTGTCGTGATGCCGGCATGGCCGAGACTTCCGCCACGCAAAGCATGGAAGCCGCAAAGCGACTGTGCACAGACCACATACAAGCCCCGCATGTCCACCAGAACGGTGAAGGCGTACGGCAGTTTCGTGTCGTGACAGCGGCTTTGGTCTCTGACGCTACATGGGATGTTCAACCTTGAACGATCGGCGTCGTTTCACTCGTCAACTCGTTCCACATCGTCCAATTATAGACCACTGGCGGCGTTCAATCTTGAACGCCCGCGGCGGGGTCACCGCCGCGTCGTCACGACGCCAACCTGCCGTACGCTTCTCCAAGGATTTGCGAGACCATCTGCGGTTCCCATGACAGTATACCATCGCGCTGCATGCTGATGCGCTTCCAGAAAACACCAACTTGTCGTCCCATTCATACCTCACGTTGGCCATGGGCACAGTACATTTCGGGCCTGGTTGTTGGGCGAATGTGTTGCTGCTCGTTCTGTGAAACGCCCAGCAGTGATGAAAACATGATCTGCGACTCAAAAGCCATCAGTTCTCCCTGGAAGGCATGCGGACAATCGACAATACAGCAGGAGTATGCTTCGCCAGATCGTACTGTAAATGGCATGTCATCCCTGCTTGTTCAAGGATATCATAATATCGATTAGTGTTTCGACGAGCGTGTGTGAATATTTACCTGGGCATAGGGAAGGCCCCCTGGCATCGGCAGCCAAGAGCAAAGCCAGCTGGTTCTCTCAACTCCGACGTCCAGCCGCATTTTAAACACATTGGACTGGGCGTTGGACACGCGTGCACTAGCGCAGCAAGGAATCAAGCGATGCGACTCATGTGGCGAAGAGCGTCGTCACATACTCAAAATCAATCGGGACAAAATGCGGTACATCTCGGCAATACAACCCTATCGGCTTCCTGCTCCCATCTGTACCTCCTTTTGTCCACAACCGTCAGAGCACCGTGTAATCATCCATTGGAAGGCTCCGCCGCACGCTGAAGCAATCCGATTCGCGAACCGTTCTGCTTCTCCTTTTATACCACATCCTCAGTGTGTGGGTAGTCTGGCTATGTGTGGGAAGTTCCTCTGTTGGGTTTGCCTGGGCTTATGCGATCAGTAAGCTTTCCCAACCGAACACGTTTTGGCTGGGGTCCAACTGATTGTTTTCGGAGACGGGCGCCTCCCGAATTATCCGCTCGGCGAGCGTCGTTTCCGACGGGGCTGATACATTGCACTATCTATTCAATTCCCGCTTCTCCTCCTCGGTTCACCAACCCGAGTGCGGAGGAGAGAACGCAGGCATTATCGCACAGCTCTCGCAGAGCAAAAGAAGACATACACACACATACACACAACACCTTCATAAACTTTCGAAGTCCCGCGCGGATTTCTTGGATCGACGCTGCATCCCCCTGCTGGCGCCCAGTGCCGATCCAGGAGAGGCGCACGGCCCTTCGAACGTGCCTGATGCTCCCTTGCCTCGGGCACACACTGATATGGACTAGGGATGCGTAGATCTTGCGCGTGGGAGCAAGATCATGGGATCGGCCATGTGGCCGCAGACAAACAGGAAAATGGCTCGGAGGGCAACCCCAACATCATGGTGGGCGGAGGGCCTCGGAGTAATCCCAGTCGAGTATTATATCCGCCTCCCATGGCCACATCCCTCCATCCCCCATCTTCCCTTCCATCAACCACGCTCACTCCCGCCCCCCCACCCACAGCTCCCCTCCTCCATCCTCCTCTCCTCCTCCTCCTCCTCCTCCTCCCCCTCCTCCTCCTCCTCCTCCTCCTCCTCCTCCTCCTCCTCCTCCTCTTCCTCCTCCCCGTGGCCGCAGGTCCAACTGCCACGGCCGTGCACAGCGACAGCACAACCGACCGACACCCACAGACCGAAAGCAACCTGGAAGGGCGCAGCGACGCGGCGACGACGCAATCACCGACCGCACCGAACCGACCGACACCGAGCCGACCGCGGCGCCACCGAGCCGACCGCAGCGTGAGCCGCCCCGGACGGGCGCCGCCCGCCTGCCAGGCGGGCCGACGGCGGCACCTGCCGGGGGGGGGGGGGGGGGCGAGAGGAAGTGGAGGGGCACGAGGGAGAGGGCGAGCTGGAGCACGCAGGGGAGGGAGAGGGAGGAGGGAGCAAGCACATGCAGTGGAGGCCAATCCACAAGGAGCCCGCCACGCGACACCCAACCCTGGGACCCCAGCGCGTCCATCGACCTGTGGTGTGGGAGCGTCACGCTGTCCATCCCAAGATCGTCGAAGCCCAAGAAAAGCCCAGGGCACCCTGGAGGCGAGCGGGGTGTGTCTTGTCATGGGCCCCCACGGCAGGAAGGAGGATGGAGCCGTCTCGGGGTCGCAGGCGGCCACGGGCTCAGGCCAGAAGGGCGGGCGGCGAGCGCTTCTTCCTCCTCCTCTTTCTCCTCCTTCTCCTCCTCCTCCTCCTCCTCCTGCTCCTCGTCCTCGTCCTGCCCCCACTTCCCCCTCCCTTCCCCTCCCCCTCCCCCTTTCCCTCCCCCTCCCCCTTTCCCTCCCCCTCCCCCTTTCCCTTCCCCCTCCTCCTCCTCTCCCTCCCCTCCTCCTCCTCCTCCTTTTCCTCCTCCTCCTCCTCTTATTATTATTCGTCTTATGAGTCGGATTATTCTTATCCGCATTATCATTATTATTCGTATGATTCGTCTTCTTATTCATATGTTGATTCTTCTTAATCTTATTATTATGATTATTATGCTTAGTATTAACCCGGAGAAGCAATTAAGGAACCCCCCGGCGTTATCATTAGCACCGCGCCGTAATTAAATAATTATTTGGGGGGGTTTTCGCCGAGCGATATTATTAGCACCGCGCAAATGGAAGGAAAACAAATAATTCCAGCGCCCCGCCTCGGGTGGCATCCCAATTAGAATTGTAATGAGAATAAGAATACGAATACGAATCAGGAAAAGCTGAGAAAAGCTAAGGAGAAGCTTAGAAAAGCTAAGAAAAAGCTGAGAAAAGCTGAGAAAAGCTAAGAAAATCTGGTGTACCCCCTCCTGGTGCCAGGATAACGCTTCCGGGTGCCGGGTGCGTTATCCTTTCACCGGAGAGGGGGGGGGGGGTCCTTAATCGCTTACTCGGGTTATTAGTGTTATTATTAGTCTTGTTCGTCTTATTATTAGTATGTCGTATTATGTTCTTACTCTTACGATTATCATTATTATTATTTCTTCTTATTCGCCTTACTATCATGCTTATCAATCGTATCATTGTTACTATTCTTATTACTATTATTATTAGTATTATTATTAATATTATTAACTTTCTTAATATTATTATTATTATTGTTCCTCCTCCTCCTCCCTATCCCTCCTCCTCCTCCTCCTCCTCCTCCTCCTCCTCCTCCCTATCTCTCCTCCTCCTCCTTCTCCTCCTCGATTACCTCCTGTTCACCTTACCTCCGCTTCGTCCTCGTCTTCCACGGACGCGGATCTGGCCCTCCGTGGCTCGGGACGTGAGAGGCTTGGAAATGTGATCCTGGATGTGGGTGGATCATCTCTCGGCCACCTGAGAAGCCGAGATTTCTGGCCTCCTAGACAGGGTCCGAGCAGATGGTGTCGGAGGATCACGCCGCATCGCCGATGCACCGGAGATACATCAACAATGCATCGGCGACTTCGGCGACGCTTCGGCGCCATCGGCGTGGAGAAAGTCGGGCCCTACATCGAGCCGCATCGCCGATGCATCGGCGATGCGGCGCGATCATCCGACCACATCTGCTCGGACCCCATCTGGGAGGCCTACAGAGATCAGGATCCTCTTCCCTCGGTGGTGGCAGCCGCCGATATAGCCAGACCAAGAACACGAGACCCTCCGCGGGCCAAACTGAAGAACACCCGAGGGCGCCCCCCCTCCAGGATGCCCAAGAACATCCAACAAGCACGAAGAACGATAGGGTACCAAGGAAAATAAAAAACGGCATAAACTCGGGGATCTTCTGACCCGGGCCAATCCAGACCCGGGTCAGCGGGAAACCAACAAGCTGCAATGCATGAAAAAAAAACTGCAACGCAGGGCTTCGCAAACCCGGGTCAGCCAATATGCGCGGCCGCCTCGCGGCCACGAGCGGCTCGATAACCCGGGTCAGCCAGAGGGGATCTTCGCAGGATCCTGCAGGATCCAGTGCCCTGGCTGACCCCCGTTTGCACTGACCCCCGTCTCTTAGGCCCCGATAAACATAAACTTTTGGCGATCCGGCCGGATTCCTTGGATCTGCGCTGGCCCCTCCTCCCTGGCGCGCTCCGCGCGCCAGGGGCGGCGCCGGCGGCGCCGCCGGGGGGAGCCCGGCGCGGACCCGAGCCACGAGATCCATGGCAGGCCGGAGCGCCAACAGCTCCTGTTCCTGGCATGGCTTCTTCTTCGGCCTGCGGTATGCCCTCCCCGAACCGACCTCGAGCGGAGGCCTCGGTCCAACCGTGACCCGCAGGGTTCCAAGGAGGGGCTTTCGGTACGAGCCAAGAGATCCAGGCCGGAGCGCCAACAGCTCATGTTCCTGGCATGGCTTCTTCTTCGACCTGCGGTGCCCTCCCCGAACAGACCTCGATCGGAGGCCTCGGTCCGACCGTGACCCGCAGGGCTCCAAGGAGGGGCTTTCGGGGAGGGGGGTTCGCCAGAGAGCCCCCCGAGGGGCCTCGGATCCTAGTCGAGGCAGGGGGCGCCAGGCCCCTGGGGGGCCCCTCCTGGAAAACCCCCCTCCCCCCAAGCCGCCCTCTGGGACCCTCCGGGCGACCCTGCCGGTGCCAACCTCTGAGCAGGGACCGACCGTCCCGGCATTCCTATGGCCCTGCCACGAGATGTTCCTAGGGCCCAGACATGCTCTAAGAGCAAAAACAAGGCTCTTAGAACATGAGCCCGATGTGACAAATCAAGACAGGCTCCGCCAGAAATGCTCGGAGAACTTTTCGTGGAAACCACAGCAGGTTCTTGGAACAATGTTTGGCAGGGCTCTGGGCAGGCCGGGACGCCTCGCCGCTGCTTGACACCTCGGGCCTCCCAGGGCGGGCCCGGGCGCTCGGCAGTGCCCGGGGCCGGCACCGAGAGGCGGCGCCGCGGGGGCAGCGCGCCCTCCTGGCGGGCATGAGGGGCGGGCCCGCGCGGGAGCGGCCAAGAGGGGGGTGTCCAAGAGGGGGGGTGCAAATCATGGCCGGCGGCACGTGCGCGGCCCAGCGGGAGGGCCAGGGACGTAATGAAATAAGAAGAGGCGGCATGAAATCTGGGGAAATATCATGGCCCACGCCATGATATTCCCCCCCCCCCCCCTAGTCATCAACCCCCTCTTTGCCGTCCCCGACTCGTGCGGGGGCGCGCCGCCGCCGCTGGGAGGGAAGGGTCGGGGACAGAGGCAGCGACCTCGCCCGTGCTTTGTCGTCTTCGTCGTGTGCTCTCTCGTCTCCCCTCGCTTGGCCCTTCTCCAATCCGCCTTTTTTGCCGCACAGCGAGCCCGAAACGAGAACGGCCCACCTGGCCATCGCTCGGACGTCCATTTCCTGTGTCTTTTTCGGTTTCGTGCGTGGTTTTTTCGCCAGATGATCAAGGATGCTCCTCGATGGTCCTCGCCGAGGAATACACGCACACTTCCGAGCGATGCCAGGCCACGGAAGGGCCAAACAAAGACAGAGGCAGCGACCTCGCCCGTGCTTTGTCGTCTTCGTCGTGTGCTCTCGTCCTCCCTTGCTTGGCCCTTCTCCAATCCGCCTTTTTTGCCGCACAGCGAGCCCGAAACGAGAACGGCCCACCTGGCCATCGCTCGGACGTCCATTTCCTGTGTCTTTTTCGGTTTCGTGCGTGGTTTTTTCGCCAGATGATCAAGGATGCTCCTCGATGGTCCTCGCCGAGGAATACACGCACACTTCCGAGCGATGCCAGGCCACGGCAGCGCCTACAAAAGGAATGCTCGGGTCGGCCCCCAGGGATTCAGAAGGCAGCTCCTGGGCAGGCCCATGACGGAGGCAGGGCCGGAGCGACATCGGGTCGGGACAGGTCGGGGTCCTCAGAGATCCGGCGGCTGGAGGACGTGACGTACGGGCGCCGCGGTCCCCAGGTCGCCCTCCTCCCCCTCCTCCCTCCTCCTCCTCGTCTCCTCCTCCTCCTCCTCCTCCCCTCCTCCTCCTCGTCGCCCTCCCTCCTCCCTCCTCCTCCTCCTCCTCGTCGCCCTCCTCTCCTTCCTCCTCTCCTCCTCCTCCTCCTCCTCCTCTCCTCTCCTCGCCCTTCCTCCTCCTCCTCCTCCGTCGCATCCTCCTCCTCCTCGTCCTCTCCTCCTCCTCTCTCCACCTCCTCCTCCTTCCTCCTCCTCCTCGTCGCCCTCCTCCTCCTCCTCCTCGTCCTTCCTCCTCCTCCTCCTCCCTCCCTCCTCCTCCTCCTCCTCCTCCTCCTCCTCCTCCTCCTCCTCCTCCTCCTCCCTCCTCCTCCTCCTCCTCCTGCTCCTCCTCCTCCTCCTTCTCCTCCGCCCTGGAGCGATTGATCCCGAACCTGGACCCGATCTAGGGCGTGCAGGGCACTTCGCCGTTGCCAGCGGGAGGGCTAGCAGGCCACTCCTGGGAGGTCTTCGCAAGAACGATTATGAGTCATCCTTGAACCGATCCTTATCCCCACTGGTATGGCCTTGGCCCCACTGGCTGACATGCCCTCATCGGCGGGATGTGGGGATCTACGAGACGATCCCTGGTCGAAAGTTCACAGGCACCCCCCTCACCCCAGATGGTATGGTTCCCGGGGCTCCACAGGGCAGTGTCCCCCCCAGATGAGGTGGGAGGACGACGACGACGACGACGACGACGACGACGACGACGACCATGACGACGACCACGACCACGACGACGACGACCACCACCACCACCACCACCACGACCACCACCACCACGACGACGACGACGAGCCACCCACCTCACGCCCACAGGCGGAGGGGGGGGCCACTGGCACCCATCACCACGGGAACGCCCACGAGGCCACGACATCTGGGGGGGGGGGGGGGGGCGATCCCATTCGCGAGGCCTTCGCGAGGCTCACGGGCGTACCCGTCTAGCAGGGAGGGGAGGGGGGGGGGAGGCGATCCCATTGGCATTGGGGGGGAGGCGGAGCCCTGGATTATATTCCAGTTCCGTCTGGCTTCGCGGAGCCTATCCCCGCCTGAGAGGGTGGGCTGGTGGGGCTGACATACCATGGCCGTCAAAAACAATTAATCCTTGCAATCTATGCGGTGCAGCCTGGGCGGAGCAACTCATGTGGTGCAAATGATGCAATCCATGTGGTGCAGACTATGTGACGCACAGCAATGAAAAGCAACACAAACTGATACAATGTGATGCAAAGCGAAGCAACACAATCAACAAACATGCAAAACAAAACAAAGCAATGCAAAGCAAAGCAACGAGAAACAACGCAAAACAATACAACGCAGTCCAACGGAATGCAACGCAATGGAAATTCGCCGGCCCAACGGGCCAGAGGCGTGCTAAGATCTCCGGTAACTGCTAAATAATACTTCTACTTCGCGCGCGCGGGGTGGCCACTGAGGGTCCCCGGACGAAAAGTACCCCGGGCGATCCCCGGCAGACTCGGGTCAGAGATGGCTTTCCTCCTGGGCGCCGCCCCCGTGGCCCTCCAGAGAGCCCCAAGAAGGGCCACGAGGCAGCCAAGAGCCCTCCAAGATGGTTCGAGAGTGCTCCGAGATGCCACACGATCGTTCCAAGACGCCCAAGATGGCCCCCAGACGCCACAAGAGGTCTCCAAGAGCACTCCCCAGAGGGCCCCAAGAGGCAAACTTCATTACTTGTCCTTAGGTTTTGGGCAGATTTTGGCGTGTCCATCTTTTCGGCTTCCCGACGCCCCAAGACGGCGCAAGAGGCCCCCAAGATCGCCCCAATAGGGCCCAAGAAGCTCCCAAGAAGGCCCCAAGATGGCCCAAGAGGGCTCCAAGACGGCCCAAGAGGGGCCCAAGAGGGCCCCAAGCGATGCCCCAACGGGGGAACACAACACAAAACTTCGAGCCATCGGCCTTAAGAAGCCCCCAGGAGGCCTCAAGAGGCCCCTGAGAGGCCCCAAAAGCCCCCAAGAGGCCCTCAGGAGGCCCCCGAGCGACGCTGAAGAGGCCCCCCAGCGGCCCCAAGAGGCTCAGTCATGCGAAATGGGCCGGCGGAGTGAGCGAAGCGATTCAATAATTGCAAAGCAACGCCAAGCCATGCGAAGCCATGCGAAGCCATGCGAAGCAATGCAATGCGCCTTGGGAGGTCCGCGCGGATCTTGCGGATGGGTGCTAGAGCCCTCTCCCCTGCCAGCGCGCGCGGCGCGCCAGGGGCGGAGTCAAAGGCGCCGCCGGGGGGCTTCAGCGCCGATCCGGGAAATCGGAGGGGACCTCCGAAAGTTCAGGGTCGTGTCATCATTTGCTCCCCGACGTTTCCCGAAGGCACTCAGGACCCTCTCCTCCTCCTCCTGCTCCTCCTCCTCCTCCTCCTCCTCCTCCTCCTCCTCCTCCTCCTCCTCCTCCTCCTCCCCTTCTTCCCAAAGTTCACGTTCATGTCATCACTTGCTGCCCGAATTCTCCCTGAGGCACCTGGAGCCCCTTCCCTCCACGGGAGCCCACCTCCGCAGGGCACGCGCGCACGGCTGGCCCCGTCCTCGGCTGTGTCGATGTGGATGAAGGTGTTCTTGACGGCCAGGCTCGGCAGGAGCGCGCCTCGGCGCGGCGGCGACGGCTGGAGAGGGGGTTGGCCATCTTCCTCTTCCTGCCGCTGCTCCTCCTCTCTGGGGAAGTCGAAAAGTCCGCCGACCCTGTGTCGGCGTGTTTGAGGGGCTTCCCGTCGTTCCTTCGTCGTCGTCTCCGTCGTCTCCTGTCCCTACCGCCCGCCCTCCCTCCGGGCCAGTCGTCTCCTGTCCCTGCGCTCCCCCTTTCCCTTTGCCCGTCTCCCCTCCTCCCCGTTCCCCCATGTCCCCCGTCGCCGCTTGCCCCCCCGCTTTTCCAGTGCCTCCCCTTCAAGAGCAATTGAGTCGAAGGGAAGCCCCTTCCCTTTGATCCCTTCCCTGCCGGGGGGGGGGTCCCGGGGGAGTCCCGGGGGGGGTCCCGAGGGGGGGTCTCGCGTCAGATACGACTCCCCCCCTGGGGGTCCCGAAGCCCACACAAAGCCTCAGACGGGGCAAGAACCGAGGCATTCTGCCACGCCCTCTCCTCCCTCCCCCCTCCTCCCTCCATCCTCATCTCTCCTCTTTCCTCCGTCCCCCTCCAGAACTGAACTGGCTTCCTCGACGCTCGGCCACGGGACCCGGAATTCCGAGGTCCCCGGGACCCTCCAGGACCCAGCCCCGAGGACCTCCTCCCAGGACACAGCACCAGGAACCAGCCCTCCAAAAAGTCCAGGACTCCCAGGCCCCAGGCCCTGCTCGCCTCGTCCTGCTCCTATTCATTCCCCCCCTCTCCTCCTCCTCCTCCTCCTCCTCCTCCTCCTCTCCTCCTCCTCCATCCTCCTCCTTCCTTCCTCCTCCTCCTCTCCTCTCTCCTCTCTCCTCCCTCCTCCTCCTCCTCCTCCTCCTCCTCCCTCTCCTCCTCCTCCCTCTCTCCTCCCTCCGCTCCGCCTCCTCCCTCCCTCCTCCTCTCCTCCTCCTCCTCTCCCTCCTCCTATCCCTCCTACTCCCTCCCTCCCTTTATCCCTCCTGCCTCGTCGCTCTTCACCCCCATCAAAACTCCGGCCTGCGTCTTCCGCAGCGGAAGCGGCAGCGCAACCAGCCATCGCGCTCGACGGCGTGCAAATGTCCGGAGACACCGCCCAATGCAAGCCCCGGCCTGGCCATCCTCGCCCACTTCTCTGTCATCCGTCCTCCAGCCCCCTCATCATCTCCACCCCTCCACTCGAGTAGGGCTGGGGGTCAGGTCTGCAGAACACCCCAAACGGACGTCAAGGGGTGCAATCAATCCGTTCGGTCAGGTTGAAAATAATGCACCACACAAGCCAAACATTTGGCCATAAACGAATGGTTAGACTTTGCACATCTTCGTCGGCTTACTCGGCAAGGCGTTGAACCACCTTGACGTCCCGTTTTGGTGGTCCTGCAGAGAAAGGCGCTCTCTGACCCTCGGCCCTACTCAACCCTTCCCCCCTCGTCCTGCACTTCATGCCTCCACCTCCTCCCGTCCCTCCTCCCAATCATTCTCCTCCGTCCTGTCGTCGTCCATGATATGTCCTCTGTGGGCCTCATCCTCACTCATCCTTCATCTCCTTCTGTCCTTGTTACCCGCTATCCATTGTCTGCCCTTCTCTTCCTCCTGCTCCCCCCCACTCTTCCCCATTGTGTCTCTCCTACTCACCCTTACCATCATCATCATCTTCATCATCATCGTAATAATCCTTGAGTTTTCCCTCCTCATCCTCCTCATTTTACTCATCCACTCGTCGGACAGCACCCATCAAATGTCATCATGTTCCAACTCATCCTTCCCCTTTCCCCATCCTAAGCAATCCGTCAGATGTAATATCACGTCTGTTCCTCCTGATCATCGACTTCCTTGCCCTTCCTCTGCAACTTCCTCCTCCTCCACCTCCTCCTCCTTCTCATGCTCCTCCTCCTCTTACTCTTCCCCCTCCCCTTCCTCCTCGCACAGGATCCATCATCTATCTCACCTCCCAGCCTTCCTCCTCCCTCTCAGCTGACTCCTCTTCCTCGTCCCTCCTTTTCCTTTTCCCGCTGCATCCTCCTCGTCCTTCCCCCTCCTCCTCTTCCTGCTCCTCCTCCCCCGTCACTCCTCTTCCAGGCTGCGTCCTCCCTCGTAGCAGGAAGGAGGGTAGCCTCCGTCCTCCATCGCCCATAATCCCCCCCCCCATCCGGCCCACCATCGTTCCCCCTCCATCCTGCGTCCTTCATGCTCCCTCCTCGCTTCTACGTCCTGTGCCCTCCCAGTGCACGCCTACTGCATCCACCCTGCCCTACCCATCCTGACGTGCTCCACCCCTCCTCCAGCTGCAAGCCCGAGAGCCTGGAGGCACGAAAGCTCGTCGAACGTTGCCCTCCGACCTCCAGCTCCTCGCCCTCCTCGCCCCCCACCTCCTCCTCCCCCCCTCTGCCCCCTTGCCTTGCCCCGCGGGCGAGCAAAGGCCGGGCCGGTGGCTTGCACCGGGGCCCCTGCCGAGCGTGCCCGAGTCTCTCGCAACACGAAGCCAGGACGAAACCGGGCGAGGCTGAATCGAGCGTCTCTGAGGTCTGGCGGCTCCGGAGGATGCCTCGGGCGCCGCGGCCTCCTCGGAGCGCCCTGGAACACTCCGAGAGCGCTCCGGAGCGCTCTGGCACGCATGGGATCCTGGTCCTGGCCCCGTGCGAGCTCGGCACCCTGCCGCGGAGAAGCGCAGGGCGAGTCAGCGGTAGCGGCCAAGTGGCTGAGCAATGAAGGCTGCGGCGGGCGAGGGGCAGCACGCCCGGAAGCGGTACAGAGTGAGCACGGGCCGACCTACCACGAAAGGTTCTTAAAGCCCAGAAATGTTCCAAGAACCAAAACAATTTTCTTAATAGAACATCAGCCCGATGCGTTCAAATGAGACAGTCTCGGCCAGACATGTTCTGAGACCACTTCGTGCGGACCACAAAAGGCTCTCAGAACATTGCTTGGTGGGCCCACGGGCACGCCATGACGCCTCGCCACTGCTGAACGGACCAGGCCAGCACGGCGCCCGGCAGCAGCCGCTGGGCCGCCGACTTGGCGCCTCGAGGGGGGGCAGCGCCCGCGGAAACGCCGACGGCGAATGCCGCGCGCAGAGGGCAGGGCCTGCCGTCGCTTCCTCGGTTCGGGCGTGGGTAGAACTGGGTTTAGTGGAACCTGGTTTAGCGATCTGTACCGGGGGCGCCCCCCCGTCCCATTTCCACTAACCGGAACTGCCGTCACCCGAAAAAACACCAACCATGGCAAACCTGGTTTGGTGATTCTGGCCAACCCGAAAGCACTGGGGCCCTACCACTAACGGGGTCCCCTTACCTGGGACCCTGGCCATACCCGATCGGTGGCCACTCTCTCTCTCTCTCGCTCTCTCTCTCTCTCTCTTTCTCTCTCTCTCTCTTTCTCTCTCTCTCTCTCTCTCTTTCTCTCTCTCTTTCTCTCTCTCTCTCTCTCTCTTTCTCTCCGTGCACACGCCCCTGCCGCACGCACCGAGGAAGAGGGGGAGGTCTCTCGCGAGGGCCCGGGCAGGCGTGGGGCCCGCCAGCCCGGCCCAGCGGGGGCAGCCGTGGGCAGCGGAGAGGGGGAGGAGGCAGGGCACCTCTGGAAGGAGGGAGGGAGAAGGGGGGGGGGGGCGGGGCAGGAGGGAGGAAGGGGAGGGGGGGCAGGAAGGGGAGGAGGGAGGAGGGGGGGGGGGACGGGCAGGGGAGGGGGGGAGGGAGGGAGGAGGGGGAGGAGAGGGAGGGGGGCGGGCGGAGTGGGGACGGGGCAGGATCCACAGCGCTCCTGAAGCGCACAGTTGTCTGCACTTCGGCGTCCTGGTTGCAGCGTGGGGGTGTGCCGACCCCCACCCCGGGCTTCGTGGCATTTTGGACTGGACCAGAAGTTTTAGGCCCAACCCTGGGACATACAATGGGGGGGCGTCCAGCCTCGAGATGGGGTGCATCCGAACAGCCCTGCATCCCAAAATTCCCCCCCCTTTCTGAGCGGCCCAACTTTCCGGGCGGAACTTGGGGGAGAGAACAACTGCCTGCGAGACTACACCTCGGAAGGTGAAATGCGAGGTGTGATGGTGCGCAAGAAAGGTACTCCAGATTTCGTTATAAAGGGAGGGGGGTCTCATTTCGGGGGGGGTCTCTTCCAGGCTATCTTGGAGGGCCTGGGGGGTCTGGGGACGATGTTTTGGAGGGTTCTCCCACGGGGGAGGTCTGAAATGGCTTGTCTTGGAGGGTCCAGACCCCCTCCCTTTTATTACGAAATCTGGAGTAGCAAGAGCAGGGCAGGAGCCAGAGCAGGCAGGAGCAAGGGGAGCACGGGCAGGCAGCAGGAGTGGGAGGAGCAGGACCAGAAGCAGGAACACCAGGAGTAAGCGCTCAAGGGGCAGGATCGGAGGCCTGGAAATTGGCACCAACACCAAGACATGGGGAAGGTGATCCTAGATTTTCGGTGTTGGTTGTATTAGTTCGGCCACCTTGGAAGCCAGAATATTACCACCATCGCCGAGATCGGGATCTTCTTTCCTCGGTGGAGGCAAACCGCCGAAATTGGTGTTGGTGTCAATCTCCAGGCCTGCGACAGGAAGAACGAACAAGGAACGACCGTCCAGGCATTCCTGTAGGCCTGCCACGACATGTTCTCAGGACCAAAACGTGCTCTCATGATTGAAACCACGCTCTTAGAACATGAAGCCGATGTGTTGACCATAGACGGTCTCAGCCAGAAACACTCCATGAACATGTCGTGCAAACCGCACAAATTTCCGATAACATTCTTGTTTGGACGCCCGAAATGGGTACGGAAAACATGGGTACAATGCCCAACAACAAATGGTGTCCCAAATCAACAGCGGCCGCTGTTGGGCAGGCGGCCTTCTGTCTCAAATGTGCACAGGCCGCGGCGACAGCGAGAGCGAGTCGTGTTCAAAATGAACCAGGAACTGCTGTTGGACATTGTACCCATTCCTTCCGTACCCGTTTCTTTCGTGCCGATCTGTGCTGGGCCCATCGGCAAGCCTAGACGCCTCGCAACCCCTTGAGGAAGGAACGCAGGAACGCTCGCCACTCACCCGCAGGCCCATGTGGGGGCCCACATCTGGACAGACCGCCGGTGTCGGCTCCCGCCTTGGCCTGCGGGTCACGTCCCCCGAGGTCTGGGCCCCGAGGGTGGGCCCCGAGGGTGGGCCTGTGGCCCGCTGGAGACACACCGGTGGGAAGAAGCGGGTAGAAACATGAAGGGGCCCTGGGACACACAAGTAAATGCACACAAATAACCAGATTCCCCATATTTCCTATATTTTCTGGGTTTTTGTCTTCCCCCCACTTCCCATATTTTCGTATATTTTCCTGGGGATCGACGATTCATTGTGTCTGTGTGTGTTTTCCCCTCCTGGAAAACATGAAGTAAGACGGCGTTGGAAATAGATTGGGTGTCCGCCCGCCCCCTGAAGACGGAGGAGCACGGAAATCCACTCGATCCTTGAAGTAGGAAGTCGCCTGAAGTCGAGTGGGATCTAGGGATGCAAAACTTACCCACTTGCAACGACCAGCGTGTGGCGGTGGTGGATTAGTCAGGATGGAAGCAAATCCAGTTGGGTCGGGACAGACTAAGAATCCCTGCAAGCTTGCGGGCCTGGAGGATGCGTCATCGGGCGCCGCGGACGGTTCAGAAAACTCCAGAACGCTCCGAGAGCGCCCCAGATAGAGGCCTCCCAGATGGGGTCAGTGTAGATGGGGTCGGAGGACCGCGCAGCATTAGCGATGCATCGGCGAGGTATCGGCGCCATCAGCGTGGAGAAAATCCGGCTCCACATCGTGCCGCATCGCCAATGCGTCGCCGATGCGGCGCGATACTCCGACCCCATCTGCTCCAACCCCATCTCGGAGGCCTGGACTAAACCACTCTGGAGCAGTCATTTTCATCCTACCCTGGCCTGGAAAAATTACTCACTGCGTGGAGCTACCCATATGTGCATCTCATGTTTTATGTCATGCCGTGGTGAGCGTCTGTTCATGAGCGGTCGACTACAATAGCGCGTCCACGTGGGCGACAGGGCCGACGAAGACGAGTGACCCCTAATGCGAGTGATTGCGCATGAGTCAGAGTGAGCTTTGAGTATGGTTGAATGCGAGCCTCTTCCTCTTCAT